TAAAATACTGTTAAATTCAATAGCAAAACTAGGAATCATGTTTCTGAATGCTTCTACCTTACAGAGAAAGAAAAAGAGTAAGACAACACAGAAATAAAATAAACATTCTTTGAGGGCGTGGACTCTAGAGCAAGTACGCACATTTCAGCTGGAGGAGGTAGGAGGAGAGAAAAGGCAGAAGGATGGGAGAAAGCTACTAGCAGTGTTTTTAGTTGTCATATCAGATGGTACTCTCCATTCAGTCCATCAAAATTAGATGGACTCTTCAAAACATACCACAGCTATTCTCAGAATATCCCATCTTTATGACAGGTAGCAAAAGCTGAACATTTTAAAATTATATTTCAGAATCTGCTGTGGAAACATATAATCACACAAAAATTATTCTTGATCTGATGTCTCTTTCAGAATTACTTTGAGTAACTTAAATATTCCAGAGAAGTGTTTATTCACACCTAATATTGCCTGCCCAATGTCAACTTTAAGAGTTTGGGAAACCGGACCAGGAGAAGAGTGGTAAAATGAATTCCAAACTTTCCCAAAAGATTTCATTGCATCTTAAAGTAGTTGAATCTTGGAGTGGGATCTCTTCTTAATTCCCAAGGACAGTACTGGTAACAGCTAGGAAGGACTGTAAAGGACCATGCATTATATTTGTACAGAATAAAACAAGTGATCACTAGGCTCAACAAGTTGAAATATAAATCTAAACACAAGGTGGTGTGGTTTAGGAATGGTATTCCCCAATTTAGTGTTCCCACTGAAAACACCCCAGACCATGCGCCACTTGCTCAATTACCCCCGCCCCATAGCGGGATGGAGAGGAGAATGGGAGGCACAAAAAGGTAAAGATCATGGGTTGAGATAGTGTCTCAGTTTAACGAGACAGAAGTGTTTGCTAAGGAGAGCGAGTTATAAGGAAAACCAAGCTCCTCCCTCTAAGCAATTGTAAATTCAAAATTAAGAGGCTCTAGTCGAGGAAATGTGGAGAAAGAAAAAAATAACAGCCCTTTATTAAAGAATATATGTGTATAGGTAACACAACAAAAGAAAAACAAACAACAATCCTGCACCCAAATTCCCACCACAAACAGTTCTTTTCGCCTTTCGGCGCAATTCTAACCATAACCAGCAGGGGGCGCTGTTGGATCTCCGGAGGAGCAGAGGCTGCAGTTGCTCTCCGATGGCCGGCAGGGGGCGCTGTTGGGCTCTGGTGGCTGCCATGTGGGATCCCGGTGCGCGGGAGGAAGCCGGATGGGGACCCCCGACTGAAGGGGGAAGGGTAATCTTCCTGTGGACTCACGCTGTCAAAGGCTGCGGCTGGAAACTCCTCTTCCTTGTCAATGGACACAAGCTTCCCCCGGCATGGAAAGAGGAGGAGGGAAGAAAAGCAGCTTTTCGCCCTCAGAAATTCCTCTGCAGATCGGCACTTGCTTCTCCGATGAAATCCCAGGCAGTTCGGGCAGTGGGCAGAACAGCGTGTGAGGGAACGGAGGCGAGCCGGGGCCAAAAGCAGCCAGGTGACCTCGCCGAGAGCAGAAAACCTCGATCCCGGAGCTTTCCTCTTCCCCCTAACAAACACCCCCAATTCTGTCCCGACACCCAGTCCCTACCCCCGAAGGAAAACAAAACCAAACCTGAGTTCTCCCTACTCCCCACCCCCGGCCTCGGGTAGAGGGAAACAAAAGAGTCCTGCTTCTCACCGAGAGGAGTCGTTTAGCATATCAATAAGACAGTCATTAAGGTCTAAGCCAAGCAAACACCAAAACCTGAAAGACTCATCCCCACCCGGCCAAGCGGTTGGTGTGAAAAAAATTCACCAGAAGCTAATGAAAAAGGAAGAGAAACTATAACAGATAGGAACAATTTACTGGAAACAGTAATAACATAAGAACAGCAACAACAATCCTAATAACAAAATGTACAAGATAGGCGAACAATTCACATGCGATTGCTCACCAGGTGCTACTCGACCGCAAGCCCCGGCAAACCAGAAAAGAAGTGACCCCCCTTTTGCACGGTGTGAGGTGGTGTAGAGTAACTCCAGGGTCCTGGCTGTGCCCCTCCTGGCTGCTGCAAGAGTTAACCGTGTCCTGGTTTCAGCTAGGGTAAAGTTAATGTCTTCTCAGTAGCTGTTATAGTGCTGTGTTTTGGATTCAGGGTGAAAATGGTGTTGATACTACACTGATGTTTGTTTTTTTTGCTAAGTCATGTCATAAGTCAAGGACTTTTTTTTTCTTGTCTCATATTCTGCCAGTGAGGAAGTACACAAAAGAAACTAGGAGGGAGCATAACCGGGACAGGTAACCCGAACTGGCCAAAGGGATATTCCACACCATAGAACGTTATGCCCAGTATATAAACTGGGGGGAGTTACCCAGAAGGGGAGCCTATCTGGGTTTGGGAAGGGGGGTCTGGCATCGGTCAGCGGGTGGTGAGCAATTGCATTGTGGATCACTTTCCCCCTCCCCTCCTTTTTATTATCATTATCATTATTATTATTGTTATTATTATTATGTACCACTCCTATTGTATTTTACTTTATTTTCAATTATTAAACTGTTCTTATCTCAACATACAAGTTTTACTTTGATTCTCCTCCCCATTCCACCGGGGAGGGGGGGTTGAGCAAGCAGCTGCGTGGTGCTTCATCTCCAGCTGGACTTGAAACCATGACAAAGGGTAATCACAATTTACCTACAGACAATTATATTGGATTATGTTAATGAAAAAAAATCAGGATTCACCTATATTGAGGAGAAACATGCACTAATTAAAAGCACAGGCAGAATGCCAAGCACAAAGGAGCTGACTGATCTACTGAAACTATATCCTGGGAAGCTGCTCTGTATTTTAACAAAATCACTGAGGCTGCAGACACATACTCTACTGTTGTAAAAAAAAAAAAGAAACACTTTTGGCTTTCCTTCATTTTCCATCTTTAGTGTTATCCTTTATTTCTCAAGATGGAACTATTAAGTCTGTTTCCCAGTAGAGGTAGACTTCAAAAACCTGGATACTTTTCTCCTCTTTTAAACCTACTTTACAGCAAATAAAAGCCTTTCCTTCTGTTAAGATCTGATTAGTGAGAGATGCCTCTGCCCGAATTAAGGTGCAAACGAGACCATATGCTGAAGTCAATAATACAGATTTTATTTAACAATAAATATGAGGCAGAGAGATAGAAAGAAATAAAAAAGAGCAGGGGGGTGGAAAGAGAAAGAGATAGCAAGCAGAAGATAGTCACCACCTGTGGATCCAGCCCCTGACCCTGGGCTTCTCAGTGGTGGGGGTCCCAGAGTCATTCTTCTGGGGGGACCACCTTTATACAGTCCAAGTTCCAGGTATCCACAAGGTGGTCACAGATGCTGTTCCCATAACTTGAGGTGATATGTGTTTTAGCAGTTGCTTCCTTTCCCACAGTTTGCCACAGTGGGAATTTTTGTCCAGATGCATTAACCAGGATGTGCTAACCAGATCTCGCCTCTGCCAAGGCTGAAATTAGCACCTTCCTGTTGCAAATTCCTCCCTTCTGTGCTTATCTCAAGTTCCTGCTGTGGTGGCTTATCTTATGGCAAGTTCCTTCTGTGGCCTTGACAGTGATTTAGGAATGGTACTCCCCAATTCAGTGCCCCCACCAAGACTCTCCAAATCATAGCTGCTCTGACCCTCTCCTGCTTTCCCCTCCCCCTCCCCACTGCATCGGGATAGAAAGGAGAATTGGAGGCACAAAAGGCAAAGGTCACAGGTTGAGATAAGAACAATTTACTGGAAAAAACAATGAGATAAGAAAAGGAACAGGAACAGCAACAATACTAATGACAGAAGGTACAAGAAAAGGAATGATTCACACAGAAAAACTCTAGATATAATAGACAATACAATACGGGATGGCTCCCTCCACCAGCCTTCTCAGCCAGAAGGAATCCCTTCTCCCTGAAAAAGAGTCCCTTTCCCTTGCCCCTGGCAATGAGGTGAGGTGGTATAGAATAATCTCCATGTCCTAGCTATGCCCCCTCCCAGCTACTGCAAAAAATTAACCCCGTCCTGGATGGAACCAGGACACCTTTACAGTGTTTGATACAGGTAACTGTGCTCTTTAAGTCCTTACACCTTTGTAGGCAGACAGACAGGACAGAGGAAAACTAGCTTTTTCAAAGACACCACATCTAAGTCTTTACTACCGATTTGGATTTCTAATTCCAGCTCTTTGTCACTTGTCATGCTTTTGATAGCTTTTTCTCTCCCAGTTGTTTTTTTAAATTTATTTCAATAAAATACAACAAACTCACTATAATTTTAATTTATATCATGTTGCAAGGTCTTTCAGACTTCAAAATCCTAATTTTATAAACGGATGAAATCAATTACTGCTTTTGCTGTTCTTTTCAAATAATTTGACCACTGTCTGTGAAACTATGATGATAAATGTTCAGTCTTTCCTGCTCAGTAGCAGTATGTTTAAAAAAAACCCCAATACACACACAAAAACATTATAGAGTTGGTTATGCAGTCTCCTAATAATGGGTACCTGGTACACTTTCCTAATATACATCTGTAATTAGGAAACATGCAGCAGGTAATTCCATCACTACATAAGTTTGTCTTTCTCATGCTGCATGAGAAAGAGAGAAGGCCTTGACACTGTGTAAGCACTGTTCAGCAGTATCAGTGTGTAATCAACACTGTTTTCAGCTCAAATCCAAAACATAGCACCATGCAAGCTACTATGATGAAATTACTGTATCCCAGGCAAAACCAGTACAACTTCATAAATGTAATTCTGTACAGCTTAAATTTCTGTATATTCTTTCAATTCCACAGTTTCTATAACGAAACCAATAATTCTTGTCTTAAAAAAAGACAACAACCGACAGCCCCCCCAACCACAAACAAACAGTAACAATTTCATAAAGCCATGAGTACATAAGAAAAATCTATAAGATAAGGACACTTTTTTACTCACTAAAAAACAACCCTCAAATTCAGTAACACCTCACCTGCATCAGCTCTGGACCGCTGACCTGGTGATTTTCCAAATGGGGTCTTCATTCATCTGTGTTTAAGTGAGCAGCAAAGCTGCTAGACTAGGGTGAAAATCCAGTTCTTCCCAACTCCTCAAATATCTTCTTATTCTCGTACTACAACAGCTACTTATTAATCCACCATCCAATCATCAATTTGTTCTTCCTCAAATATAGAAGCACTTTCAGTTATATCACTGAAAAACAAAACAGAAAATACAGTCTGATTTGAGACCTGGTTAAAATAAGCAATGAAGTGAAACAAAATATTTTTTCTTTCATGTTCAATGAGAAATCTCTTCATATTCTGTTATTCTGGATGCATTCAGTAAACAGAGGGTAGTTAGGCAAGAAAACAGCTAAATATTAAGGCTCATACTTTTCCTCATATTCTCAATGCAAGTTCTGTATCAGATCATCATCCACAGACAGATACACATAGAAAAACCTCATAAAAAAACCCAACCCCCCATCTATTAGTTAGTATAGGGAAGAATGACTAGTACTTCAAAAACCCTACCTGAAAGCAGAAGAAACTGTACTACCTTCACCAGACATAAAGAACAAACCAACTATTACCACTTGTTAGAAAACAAAATGCTTCCCACTCACATATGAGAATTCCTTCTCTACAGATACATTAAAAAATGTAGAAAAAAAAATCTTACATAAAAGGTAAAAACCCCCACAGATTATATTGCAACACTCAAACTACTAATTTGTGAAGTCACTAGTTTATAGAAGATTTGCAAAAGTCATTGCTGATTTGCTACACCTCAATTCAGATTCCTGAAATATTTAGTAATCACATTCCTCTAGATTAGGGAGATATGGGAGGACAATGCTTTAAAATATTTCCCAAGATTTAAATTACAGACACTTGTTATCATTTAAAATTTTGAAGAATTACAGATCAACTATTTCAGACTACTGTTTCTGGACAGCAAACATTTCTCCTAATTAATCCATTTATTTCAATGCTGCACACAGCTAAAACAACAGGTTAGGTCAGCTCATCCTTTTAGCCTGGTGTCAGAGACTGAAACAGGTAATGACTTACACATTCTAAGATCACCAAAAGACTTTTGCAAACTGAAAAGAAACAGCTGCTCACCCAGCAAAGCCCATCCCTCCCTGAATACTGCCAAAGGACCTTCAGATCAGATAAGTGGGTGCCATTGTCCAGCTATGCTGGGTGCAGATGCATACCTGAAGCTACAAACTGGATTTATAGATAAGGGAAGAGGCTAAGAAGAGGCAAATCCCAAAAGGTGGGAGAATCCCTTTTATCATGCCAATGTCCTCCCTTTACATGATAACTCTGCATCTAGCCTGGGCTATGCATCTCAAATGTCAGACCATGATGGACCATGATTGATGCTGACACAATAGGCAGCTGCAGCTGTTTTAGGAGATGTCAGAGACTCAGTGACATGTCCTGTGACACTATCCATTGTAAAACTCTCCACCCCGGGGAGGTACAAGGTGTTCCCACCTGAGCTAGAAGTGTATAATAACTCATAACATCTTTGAGTTTGGTGGGGGGCTTCCCTCAGCCCCAACGGATCAAGACCACCACTTCAACCAACAGACATGGAAGCTGCGACTACCAAATCTCATCGCTGGATCCAGTGGGCGGTGACTATATATATACATCTTTCCACCCTTATCCTTTCTTTCCCTTTCTCTCCCTTAAGCATTTCCTTAAGTGTTATCTTTATGCTTTAATAGTGCTATATCACTATACTTTAATATTGCTGTATTGCTATATGTGATAACACCCAAAACGGCAACATACCTGTTTACCTTTGAAACAAAATTGTTCTAAAATAAACCCTACATATATATGTTTACAAACACCGATTATTCAGTGTGATTTCACTCTAATCCACCCCAAGGGATTTATTAATAAGAACCTGGGTTACCCTCCCCTTCTGGGGCAGGTTGCAACACGTGGTTTCCTTAATGAGATTACTGTTATATTGTTCTCTGTAATCTGTCAATCATCAGTGGCCTTCTCCCTTTCACTTTTTTTCTTCCCAACAGCAGCTTTGGAACCTGCCGTTAATTTTACAAAAGGGTAAAAAACAGAGGAATGCCCCTAACCCAGCTGTGGAAAGAGGTGGGCCTTATGTGTGTGCCTTACTGAACAACTGAATATACAAGGATATGCTTTGAGGTATAGTACAAGTGCTATGCTGAAACTTGCATTTACATCTACTAACACTGCCAGTTCTTTCATGAATCACATTTGCTAACTTCTAGGAATATTAGATCAATGCAGAGGAATATTCCTAGAAATAAAGAGTAATAGAAAGACAAATAAAATTAAATACTAGTTTCTGGTGTTTCTAGTTTAAACAAGTATTTGGCGATTTGTAGTTTTTGGAAAGATCCGTGCTATATTTGGGAGAACTAACTTTTTAGACATTCAGTCAGGAAGCAATAAGAATTTGTGAAAATAAACTTAAAAATCCATTTAAAGAAACTTATCAGTTTTTCCATATTTCATCTCTTCCTGAAATATAGCCATTATATACACAGAAATGCTGTACAGTACCAGAAGAACAATATTCAAGGTTTAAAACATCTGAAGAAACAACAGGAAGCAATTAGCTTGCAAATAGCTTGCCTATTTTACTAGAATACAAGATTTTTTATACCAAAGACATCAAAAATATTTTACTGCAGTTTAAAATACACTTCCATATTCAGTGTCACAAGAGCTGTTTATACATGGAGGAGAAATTGACTTTTTTTTCCTCCAGAGGACCAGAGGAGATAAGAGATTATGGTTTAGATAGAATCAACTGTAATCTAGCATTATACTTTTATACTAAACAAACAACAACAACAAAAAAACCCCCAACCACACACACATGAAAAACATCAGCACTTAATTAAAATACCCTTTTACAGTAAGCTGTTGATTTGTCATCCGGGAAGTTGCAAATATTTCATAACATCTGTATGTGGGGTGGTTTTTTTCAGATTTCAAATCCATAACTGCCAGAGCCCAATGCTCTCTAACCAGGCTCTTTTATATATTATGTGCATGGTGGGTGTGATGTTAAATATAAAATTTACTTATTTGAAGACAGTCGATGTTACATGGGATTTGATTTAGCAGGGTGGTCTTAAATATACTGAAATCACAATAAAAGTTTGTTACACTTGGCAAAATATAGCAATTGCAATACAGAGTTCAATCACAATACCCATGTGATCCCCATTACTGGTCTCTCTATGTCACGATGATGGGCATCCCCAAACACAGGGAAGGAATACATGGGTTGAAGCCAGCTCAAGCCTGTTGGTTTCTTCAAAATTGTTTTCTTAGTTGTCTAGTTTTTATATTCGATGTTGGACTGAACCAAATACTCCTCCATGCTGCTATCATCTCAGGGAGATATTCACAGTCTTTTAATGAACTTGAGGAGAAACATTTATACCACCAAGTTGATCCACTCAACTGGGATAGCTGTTTATCTAAAAGTCAGCTTTCTTTGCAACAGCTGCGGTCAGTTACACTCTGCATTATTCTCTGAGCTTCATGGGCACATTGCCCTTGACCATCTCCACTGAGCCTTCTTCCATTGTAGGGGTTTTATTGATCAGTCACAATAGCAAACTGAAATTGTAATTTAGTTTCAATTTTTTATTACGTAGCTGTATTTACAAAGAAAAATTAAACAACACACAAATTTTGGCTTTCTGCCAGTTAGTAAGCATTTTATTGGAATAATCTGTCCCCAGTCACTACTATGCCAACAAAGACATACCTCTTAGAAGGCTTCCTAATCCTTTTAAAGTCACAATGCATTTGCTAACACTTAAAGCAGTTTTTCACAGTGCTCTCTGAACCTAAGGACACGAGAGGAAGTGAAAAGCTAATTCAGCAATTCAAACATTTTCTATAATATAAACTAATCCAAGTAACTGCAATGAATTCAACACTTATGATTTTCACAGGAAGGAAATGAAACTTAATTTTCCTAAAATTAGTATTCTGAATTCTTTACAAGTCAGTTTCACACTGACAATTCTAAACTCATTAATAACGAGAGATAGAATGAGATTTTTGAAGATCAGTTACTTTGAGAACATCTTGAACTTTAAAGCATATGTAAGAACTTTTGAAATCTTGTTTGCTTTATTAAAATAAACCGGGAAAATATACAGCTTTTAAGGTGTTTTTTTGTCATAAAAGGTTTTGAATTGTATGGGTTGATTTTTTTTCTTGATAATTATGTGCCATTGTCATTCATAATATTTATAAGTCTAAGAATACCATGTTCCACACACAAAAAAATTTGTGATATGATTCTGACACACTAAGTAACAATAAGCCATACTGTTGAGGAAGAATGGAAATTCCTTTGTTAGGAGGATGTATATAAGATGAAAAAACAACTTTTGAGGGTAATTCTGTTGACAGCACTAGAGTTTAGTATTTGAGCAATGTGAAATCAGAAACTGCTAAGTCACTTAAAAATATTTCAGCATGACTTCTGAAAGTCAGCAACAGTTTAGTGAACCAGTTCAAAAACCACTACTTTGTTCTTTCATATAGCAAATAAAATACAGGTAGCTTTTTTTTTATCTAAACTGACACATCCAGATCACACTATAATAGCCTTTACAGCATACCAGTATCTTTTTTAGAAAAGCATCACAATCTACCAGTTTGGAAATGATTGCCCCCATACCTGACTACACAGGTCACCAACAGCTCAGTTAAAAGTTTGTCATGGTTTAGATTTTCTTGTTGAATTTCTCCATGCCTCCATGCCACCATGTGGCTTTGGAGAGGGAGGGGTCGGCGCACGGCAGCCACCGTTTCTGCCAGCCGCGGAGGAGCGGGGGGGAGGGGGGGAGGAAGATGGAGGTTTCCGTGAGAACTGAGGGGATCCCAGGAGCAGGAATCCCGCAAGTACTGGAGGGAAAAGAAGAGGTTGGCAGTTCCAGTTGGCTCCCTCTCACCCCTGCCACGGAACCCGGGAGGTCCCTGACCGCGCCAGCTCCCTG